TGACATTGAAAGAAAACCAAATAAGAAAATGTTAAAGAAGGATCCGCCAATAAATTTAGGTAGTGACACATATTTTAATATATTTTAGTTCTTATCTAACAATATAACTCGTTTTTTTATGTAATGTTGTCAATGATGTAATCTCGTACAAATTGAGACATATGTAATGTGTATTCTACTTTAATGTTATAGAATTTGGGGTAATTTTGGACAATTTTTTGTGTGATAAAAAGTATATTGGTTATGCATAATATACTGGCACAGTATGAACCTTTGAGTGAGTCTGAATACGCATCTTCAAGCATAATCCATTTTAATTGTAAAAAAAACAAACTAGTGTATTTTACAAATGTGCATCTCCGTAAACACCCTTATTTTGTATTAAAAAAACGAGTGTATATGGGTATGTGTAACACCCAGATTTTTCAGTTTAATTATTTAATTAAGTTAATTTGTGTATTTTAGTGATTTAGCATGGTTATATGATTGTACATGTTGATTTAAATTGAATATTTGTTTTATTTGTGTGGAGCAAATGGTTGGGAAGAATAGAGTAGTATGGTCATATTGTAGAAATTGTGGAATAATTAAAATACTATTATTTTAATTATTAAATAAAATAATTTAAATAGTAGCATTTTTAGTGGATTTAATTATTTTGTTATTAGAGATAAAATAATGATAATTGAATAGTTAAATATAGAAAAGCGTGGCTTTATGATAGAAATTATTTAGTTGATTTATTAATAGAGAAGATAGGAGTTAGAAGAGAAATAGAGGGTAATGAGAATATTTAATATAATAAGTTGTTAGCTAATGAGGTCCTTAGAAGAGATTGTGTAGAAAACCATATATATATATATATATATATATATATATATATATATATATATATATATATATATATATATATATATATATATATATATATATATATATATATATATATATATATATATATATATATATATATATATATATATATATATATATATATATATATATATATATATATATATATATATATATATATATATATATATATATATATATATATATATATATATATATATATATATATATATATATATATATATATATATATATATATATATATATATATATATATATATATATATATATATATATATATATATATATATATATATATATATATATATATATATATATATATATATATATATATATATATATATATATATATATATATATATATATATATATATATATATATATATATATATATATATATATATATATATAAGCTTCAAAAATTGTTGCATTTTAGTTATAGCCACTTTTATTACCTTGTTATTTTGAACACAAACATTGTATACTTGTTTGATATTTGAGATATTTAGAGGTTTTTTCCATTTTAAAGATGCAAGTATGTTTTGGACTGCACCATGTTTAATGTCATGTCAAAAACAAGTTTATTCTCTTCATGTTTAAGGCGGCATGCAATGGGATGACCGAATAACTTGTGGCACATGTTGTGATTATATGTACTACAAATCACATTAAATCTCAATTTATCATTTGCCAAAAACTATCCACGCAACTTAAAAGGACACTGACATTTCCACGAACCGGTGTCATCTTGTTTCAATTTCTGAATATAAATTATGCAATTACCGCTTCTTTTGCATCTCATTGTCACAAATACAAGTCTTCTATCTAAAACCATTATCTAACCTTTTGATTACAATGTCGAACCCCGATTTGGCAGCCTTCGTGCGAATCCATTGAAGTATATGATCACGAATAACAAACTATTATTCATTTGTAATTTGGTTGCCAACATTTAACTTGACATCAACAGGTTTGATATTCGTAGACACAATAGGTTTGGGGACAACATCATAGTGCACCATGTCTAAGACCAATCATAAAATATATTTTTGGATGGAACGTTCATTTGTGCATACCAAAAACCACATTAATGTAAGTAAAAAGGAAGAAAATACTTGTACATTACCTTAAATTCCATTTTTTGCTCATTTTGATGTGGAAAAATAGAGGAATATTATTTTGAAGTAGAATAGTTGATTGAGTGTGGAAGGATGGTTTTGTAGGGTTTGAAGAAAAATGGTGTTTTTGATCATGATTGAAACAAACATGCAAGGTGGTGCTTTATTAAATTTCTAGTTTGGCATTTCCAAAAATGCATTTTCGGAATTGTCATTGACATGGAAGATTGTAATTTTTCAAATTTCTGTTTAACAAATATGGAAGTACACTTCCGTATTTGTCATTGAGTTGTTAAATGAACAAAATCATTAAAGGGATGTGTCCAGAGATACACATTCAGACTAGTGTTTGGGAAAAATAAGAGTGCCTCTCACTAAGGACATATTTTGGTGTAAAATGTGAGCGACCAAAAATATACTTCCAGATTCGCAAGGACAATTTTGAATTTTCATAGGGTGTTTCTCCGCCACTTAGGGTGGAAGAAGTAATGCGTATTTGATTTTGATCAAGAGTTTCTCACATGTTTGAGTTTTGCTACTAAACTATTTTAAGAACAAAAAATTATGAAATAATAACAATGTTTTTATTAAAAAAAACAACTGAAACTTAAATACTTATTAAAAAATAAACAACTTAAATAACATACTGAGTTTTAGATAGATTGTGTGTATGAGATGAGCTCAATACTTATAACAATTTTTAGTTGAATGTCATTTATGCTCTTGAACTTATTGTTTTTTATTACATAGTTGTTTCAGTAAAGTTAGAATAAATATTGAGTATATATCTTTTGATATACGGAAATATATGGTTGTTCTTCTAGAATACTTTTCATTAACTTTATTTACTTTCTAAGCTTTGACAATTAGGATACTCAAAATTGAAGAGTACATACTGTGTTATTCCAGGAACTAGAACCATGTGCGAGAAACTTTAGCGCCACAACCAGGGAGTTATACGACAACCGACTCCAATATACGTAGCCTCACCGTATGTAACAATTATGAGGTCACCAAGTCATAACCGAAACAAAGGACATTAGACTCTTCCACCCGACTCGGGAGGGAAATTTGACACTTATACCCCAATAAAGGTTCACTGTCCTTGTATCATACCACTCCCAAACAAGAGAGTGGCACAACACATATACCTCGCCCTCTAAGCAAAAGAGGAACTCATTCTTCAAACACATGATCCCGAGCTCCCCTAATAAGCCCGTAAAGTTAGAAAGTTAAAATGATACAAAGATTTGGACGAACACTCCCAAGAAATTATTACGATGCCCAACAAGTTATGAAATGCATACTTTTTGCATTAAACCTTAAGGGAGTTTTTATGACCTAGTTCAAAACCCTCGTAAACGAGAGCATAAATTTATGAAAGGAACTATGTAACCCGTTCACCACTCAATATCACTTGAACCACTCAGTATCACTTAAAAACGACAACCTACTAATATGGTCGTACTCAACAGGATCACACAGAAGAAGAAAGAAACCCTCAAAAAGTGCATTGATCGATTTACCACGGATGCTGGATATTCAAAAAGGGGCTGAAGTCAGATTACATGTTTTGAGAGAATCTAACGTTGGATGGAACTTGCAATTTAAGTGACTCGCTGAATAGGGTCGTACCTTATATCAACTACAAAAATTAACTCTAAGTTGAAGAGGAGACCTGGGGAAAGAGAAACCTTAGATATGGTCAGACAAAAAAAATATCGTAGAGATGACGGACAATGAGGACCCTGAGCCAAAATTTATGCATACACTTACTTAAACACATAAAGGGGGGAAATTGGCGAGAATGCACAACAATTGAGTTCAAAGAATTTGGGATCAGAAACCTACATTCGATTAAAGAGTCAATTAAGACACATAAGTCAAAATACATTTGATTTCACAAAAGTCACGACCATGACACTAATGAATGCATCCACCTAACAATGTGATTGGAGAACTGATTAAAAAGAGACTGACTCATCAGGTATATCGAAAAAGAGAGGCCGAAGAGACGACCGAGACCAAAAGAAATTTCATAGAAGGAATGATGAGTCACCAAAGAAGAAACAACCTTATTTCCTGGAGAAAGTGTCCCCCCAAGAAAACCATTGAGGTCGTGAGTAGAGTCAATAAAAAGAAAGTAGTAGCAGCGTGAAAGAACAAAAGAGGAAACAACAATATAATCACGAGATAAACATTTAATGCACATTTTCCCAAAGACATCATGGTCCCACCAATGGTCTTCTATTTTATTTTACCATGTGTTGAATTGAAGACAAACTTGTAAAACTCCTCATTCTACGACGTATGAACAAAGGTTAGGGGTAACTATTTTGGGCTGCCAACAAGACCCACGAAGAAAGCCCCATAACTAGTGTTGAAGAAGAAGGCACATAGAACATGTGAACCCTCATCCCCGTCGAATCACACCCTCCGTAACATCTATCATTGTTAAATCTAGTTGAACAAAAATTCGCACAAGGCATTGGGTCACAGATGGAAAATTTTAAATGTCCATACTATATAAAAACTAGACCGCGTCATTTTAAATATTCAATACATTCTCACTCTAAAACTACTTTTTACTCATTCACTGACTTAAACATTGAAGTGTTAACCTTATAAGCTTACCTTCATCTCCACCACACCAGAAAACACGTCTATAATATATGAACTTCATTATATCACTTCGTTACTCATCTCTAATTTCCAAACAGAACAACTATATTGATATTTTAAAATTAAAATTCAAAAGGCAAATTAAAATAAAATGTGAAATTTAAACACATGACCTGATTAAATGAATGTGTAGGTAAGCAAATGAGTATTGGGCTAAACCTAACCAGCGCTACTAGATTTTTAAAGCCCAAAACCCGAACAAAACCCGCAGAACAAAAGTGCCACTATATATCAAACTAGGGTTTTCTGTTCGCATTCTGGAGAGTGGTGAGCGACACAGAGAGGCTTAGAAAGAGACACAGTTTGCGCGATTCCACAGTAGCAGAAATGAAGACCATTCTATCTTCCGAGACCATGAACATCCCTGACGGCGTTAGCATCAAGGTTAACGCCAAGGTGATCGAAGTCGAAGGCCCACGCGGTAAACTCGTTCGTGACTTCAAGCATCTCAACCTCGATTTTGATCTCATCACCGATGAGAATGGAAAGAAGAAGCTCAAGATCGACGCGTGGTTTGGTTCCCGGAAAACCTCCGCCGCCATCAGAACCGCTCTCAGCCACGTTGAGAATCTCATCACTGGTGTCACCAAGGGGTTCCGCTACAAGATGAGGTTTGTGTATGCTCATTTCCCAATCAACGCTAGCATTACCAATGATAACAAGTCCATTGAGATCCGTAACTTTCTCGGTGAGAAGAAGGTATGCAATGAATTTAACCCTAGTTTAATTCAATTTTAGATTATGTAGCCCTAGTTTTAGTCCAATTTGTAATTTATACTAAATATCAATTAACCCTAGTTCCATTCAGTTTTAGATTATGTAACCCTAATTTCTCTATAGCTGATGTGTGATTTACTAGTTTGAGAATTTGCGATGATGAATTGAATTGTGTATATTAGGTGAGGAAAGTGGATTTGCTTGATGGAGTTTCAATTGTTCGATCTGAGAAGGTGAAGGATGAGGTTGTTTTGGATGGAAATGACATTGAGCTTGTTTCTAGATCATGTGCTCTTATTAACCAGGTACACTCTTTGAAATGTGATTGTTTTATGGTTGTGTTTTGATCATTGTTTATGTGTCTGAATGGTTTTGTTTTTTTGGAACAGAAATGCCATGTTAAAAAGAAGGATATCAGGAAGTTTCTTGATGGTATTTATGTTAGTGAGAAGGGTGCTGTAGTTGTTGAAGAATAGATTGTGATACTCTCATAAGCATATCTTTTTTGTAGTTTTGTTTGAGTTTTTCTTGTTCATGGATTATTGCTTACTCTTTTGTGGAGTATTTGGAGACATTTTACGTTTGTTTTTTGAGTTTGGATGTTTTTGTCAGCAAGGTTTTGTCTTTGAGAATATCTTATCTAAGCCTATTGCTCATATGTGCTTTATGCTTTCTTGTTTCTTAGTTTTACTTTTATTGTCCCTTTAATGTGCATTTGCGGAATTCTAATTGCATGTGTTCCAAATTGTGCATCCTTATTAGTAATTTTTGTCATGTTGGTAAATTGGTTTAAGTATCCATCTTTTTTCTTCTGTTTTGAAAATCCTGCAGAATTCAGCTCAACTAAATTTTGCTAACTTATTTTTTCTGATTCAAAATTGTGCCAAATAGTTAAATTGAGGAGAAAATTGTGCTAAGTATATGGTAGCATTGGAAGAACAAATTGTTTCATACAATTTGAAATTACAGAATACATATAGTTAGCTCGACACATTAACTAAAACAGTATGTTCATAACTAAAACTGGACATTCTTCATTTATTATGCACGATTTAGAGATGTTGATAGTTGCTGTTAGCGATGGGCTGCGGAGTCTACAGGATGAGAAAAACCTGTTTTGTGTCACGTTCTTCTTCCTTTCTCAACTGTCTTCTCCTCTCTCTCTCTCTCTCTCTCTCTCTCTCTCTCTCTCCCTCTCCTTTATCAACTGTCTTCTACCTCCCCGTCCTTCATCTCTAGTGCCACCATTACTCTTTATCAGAATGGTTCTATTTTTCCTTAATCTGCCTATTTCTTCACGTACTTTCCACTCTGTTTTTCAAATTTGTTCCTTTGGCTCATTTTCTTCTTCCTCTGCCTCGTGGTTTTGTTTCTTTTTATTACCACAATTTTATATGATTTTTTATTATGTTTGATTTATTAATCACGTATGTAGATTAAAATTTTATATTTCAATTTGTCTTGTTACTTGTGGCTAAAAGTAATATTAGTATAGCATGACAATTTTAACCATTGGAAAGATAGTAAAAAGGTGTTAATGTGTTTTTATTTCTCACAATTAGTGGACAAATAAATAAAGCAAAAAGGACATTAATTGGCAATAACCGGTGACATAGCTTCTTGCTTTAAAACTTCATCGGTAGTAACAATAACATAGTATGACAGTTTTAACCATTGAATTGGAAGGATCTAAATTATAAAGTGACATCTCACTAGTAGTGATGGAATAAGCAAAACAAGAAGACATCAATTGTCATTAAAGGGTGATTAGATCATTGTTTTAAAACATCCCGGGTAGAAGAATATAAATAATAAGAATGTGATATATGATTTTTGTAATCCAATTACTTGTGGAGGAGTAAGTAGAGCAAAAGGACATCAATTGTCAATAAAGGGTGATATAACTCTTTGCTCTAAAACACTATCAGCAGTAACATTGACATAACATGGCGATTTTAATCATGGAAAGAATCTAAATAGGTGACATGTGATTTATTTAATCTTACTACTAATGGAGGAATAAGTAGAATAAGAAGACATTGGTTGTCAATGAAAGGTGATGTAGCTCCTTGCCTTAAAACACCATCGGATGTTAAGCAATATTATAGGCTGATTTGGATGAAAAAGAAAGAATTAAAGAAGTTGTAGAAGAGATGTTAGTGTAAATGGATGAAGATGTTAATGATGACATTTAAGAAATAACGAGAATTCAAACTAAGAGGCTAGCAGAGACCACTTCACATATTCAACAAGGTGGGGTCGAATAATTGAAAAACTGTAGATTATTTCAAATTGTAATGATTTTATAATTGTTTCGAGCACATTTTGTGCTCTATTTCAATCTATTTATTTATTTAAAAAAAAATCTCTTCACGACAAAAAGGTCCATTCGATTTGATGTCCATGAAGAAGAATACAAGGCAAACAAACATCACTATATTGTTCTATTTTTTATATACAAATGTAATTGCCTTTAATGTGGTTAGAGAAAAAAAAATTGAAAATTTTTTATTGCACCTTATATACTTTTAATACGCCATGTGAATTTTTACACATGTCCTATAATTTCAGAGATACATCTCCGGATGCGCTCTATTTTGAACAAGCGTTGACATATTTCGAAGATACATCTCTGAAATCATTTTAAATATTCAAAACATCTTCGGAGATGCATTTTAAACATCCAGAAACCATTTACATTTGAATTGTTTCAGATACGCATTTTCGGTAATATTTCGGAGATACATCTCTAAAGTGTATCATAACATATATTTTTTGTTATAAGTTGTGTATTTGCTTTTAGATAAACTATGAAGCCACGATCTTGAATTAAAAAATAGAAGAACAAAATAATAAGAGACTAATATTGGGTGTGTCGAAAATAATATAGCAATATAATAAGAAAACGTCGTACAATCGAGGTGCAAAATGTAGTAATGTCAGAAATAAAGTACAAACTATAATACTACAACAAAATAATAACAGACAACTACTGGGTGTGATTGTCAACCTCTCATCTACCTGTTTTGCCTCCTCTTTCTCCTCTTCCTCCTCTGCCTCTTCGGCCATCAATTTCCTCGTCCACCGGCAATGTCTCCGATACAACAGGGTCTCATGTACCTCCGCCACCATGGCATCCAACAATAGCCTAACAATAGACTCTTCAGGAAAGATACCCTTGTCAATGCATGCCCGTGCAATCTCCATTATGCGATGACAACGAGGCAAGACATCATCAATATGATCTAGCTGAGTTTGCCCCTCCTAAAATATCTCCTGATGAACTAGTCTCGACGGATCTCTTAGAGCAGTTTGCACCATGTACGGATGTGACACTCTAAAGAACCACCTGATGTACCCATCAACGTAGCTTTAGTCGTTCGACGCTATGGTAACCCGTGGCTCCTCCGGTGCTAAATGAATCTCATAATCAACAAGCATCTCCTCTATCTGTCTACGAGACAAGGCAGGAGGAGCAGAGACAACAAAGTGTCTAGGGATGGTCTGAGTGTACCCGAATTGCCGCATGACGCGCTCGGTTAGGTGAGGAGCAGTGATACACGATCCTCAAACCAACCATCCAGAGTATAACATTATATCGTCAAATGGTCGCGTTTGACGGTGATCAACGTAACTGTTGAAGTGCATGTCCTCAGCAACGAAACAGTCAAGATAGACTCTTAAAGGCTCGACCTCCTAGTTCCTTATGAGTGGGATAAAAGCACAGACATGAGGCATGTCCTCAGTGTACTTATCCATACTCGCCCAACAAGCGATGCGCGAGAAGTGCTGGAGGATCCAAGCCTGAAATGAAAATACAAAAAAAAACATTCAAATATCAAGAATTATTGACAATGGTTTCGCAAACATGAAATGAAAAAGATAAAAGAAAACATTTAAGGATCAACAATTATTACCACCAGTAGTGTCGCGCTGTTAGTGGCTTGCTTCGTCTTCCACAAACATCCATCCATCAACTGCAAATAACGATAGGCTACGCAAACCGCCTCTCATTTGTACTCATGGGTCTATTTTAGATCCAAGAAGTACTGGAGGTAGACGATGTCAGTATAAGTGACACTCATGTTCACAAAAATACAAATGCTAACCAAAAAAAGAAAGTATGTTCTCAAAGCATGCGTCCTGTGTACCGCCACCTGCTCAGCATCACCATGTACCTGTTGTGCCCTCCCTATCTCAGCCAAATACAGTTTCCTCAACAACTCAAATATAACACGAGCACCCCTAATATTATCCACCTCATCCGCCGCCTTCTCTGGATCTGCCCCCAGATGCTCTACCATCATCTCAACTGCCTCATCTCTGGTAATCCTCCCATGATTAAGGAATTTCCATGTGATCAAAAGATGTAACAAACACGAGACACCTTCTATTGTGATAGACATCCCACCACGCGGAAGATGAAATAAATAGGTCTCAGAGTGCCATCTCTTTATGAATGCATTAAGCATCCCGCGGTTGACCAGAGTGTAACTGGTCATGCATATGCAATGCTTCTCATGCCAAATAAAGATATAACCGTCTAAAATCAATCCTCCTCATGTCGAGGCAATGCATTAATCTTTCTCCCATGGTTCAGAAACTTTTGGGGATCACGCTCCTAAAATTTTCCAGAAATAATCAAAATACTGGAAATAATCAATGTCAACAATTAAAATTAAAATTAACGCATACACAAAACAAATAATCCAACTAATGTTATCTCTTTGTCCTAGATATGTCTGACAATGTGGTTTGGATATAGAGGAAGTAATGACAGATCATATGGACCTTCTCCAAAACCCTCTGGCTCGGCGTCCGCAACATCCTCACCCTGCAAAGGTGGCACATGATCAACATAATCATCAACGAGAGGTGTAACTGGATCCGTATGAGGTGGAACTGGTGAATCTTGACGCCTGCGGGAGAATGGGGAAATGACGCGTTAGATGGTGAATCCTGTCTCCTACGGGAAGAAGAAGAAGGTAGAATGGTTTGAGATGTAGTGGCTTGAGGTGAAGGACGAGCCTATGAGTAGACTGCGCCCCGGAAGTCGATGCCTCTACTTAACCAGATATACCTGCTACCTCTAGAACCTGCTGGCTCCTCTCCCGCCGAACAGATGCGTGCTGGGAAACCCAACCATGTCTCAGTCTATCGACTATGTAAGTCATAATTCCTATAAGGTAATGTAAGACATATCATTAGTGCACGTAAACAACACACACAAACATGAAAATTAAAAAAAACAAACTCTAGGATATTTTGGAGATATATCCCCGAAAACCATAAAGCAATAACATTGAATAATTCAAGAGATGCATATCCGGAAACACCATAAAACTTTTAACGTTGAACAATTCCGGAGATGCATCTCTGGAAATTCCCAAAGTATATGAAAGCTAAATTATTCTGGAGATGTATCTCTGGAATGTTCTGCAAATCAGAGGTTGCAACAATGGCGTAATGTGCCTCA